CTGCCAGGCGCACAGGACTGGCGTCAGCACGTGGAAACGGACCGGACCTGTCTCCCCCCATTCACAACAGACCGTCCAGAGCGAACTCAAAGCATGGGTTGAAACCAGGAGCCGGAAACACTGAGGGAAACTTCAGGGGACTTTCGGACATGGACCTCAGGGTCCCGACAGTGGTTGGGTTCAGGGGCAAAGGTGACAAAAAACCAAAGTAAATCAACGGGACTACATCAGATTAAAGGGTTCTGCGCGGCAGAGAAACTTGGGCTAATACTGAAAGACATCTCACAGAGCGGGAGGAAACGCGCACGCCACGGGCAGGAAGGCTAACGTCCAGACACGTGGGCCCCCAGAGTCACAGCACAGCGGGGAGGGCATCTGCCCTGCACACGGCCAACCCAGGTTCGATTCCCAGCATCCCGTATGGTCCCCGGAGCACCGCCAGGAGTAACTCCTGAGTGCAGAGCCAGGAGTAAACCCTGTGCATCGCCGTGTGTGACCCAAAAAGAAAAATTAAATAAATAAATATATATTTAAAAAAAACTGTCCCCCAAAGCAGCAGTAATTAAATTAAAACAGCGTGGTACTCGGACAAAGACAGGCCCTCAGATCAACGGAATAGGGTTGAAAATCCAGAGAGATCACAGGCATGTAGTCAGCTAACCTTCGAGAAGGTTGCAAAAAACAGGGAGGAGAGCAAGGAAAGCCTCTTTTGCAAAAGCCTCTTCCCAATGCTGGGAAAACTGGCCGGCCGTGTGCAGAACAACAGCAACAAAAAATAAACCAATCTCTTTCTAACACCACACACAAAAGCCAACTCAAAACGGACTCAAGACCTTGATATCAGACCTGAATCCATAAACCACTCACAGGAAAGCACAGGCAGAACCCTCCCTGACACTGACGCCCAAGCAAGTGGAAGCAAAGACAGGGAGGGAACCAAACAAACGGAACTGCATTAAATTAAGAAGCGTCTGCATCTTGAAGGAACTGCATTAAATTAAGAAGCGTCTGCATCTTGAAGGAAACGACCAAATACGAACAGCCCACAGACTGGGAGAGATCATTTGCACACCACTCTTCCCATAAAGGGTTAATATTCGAGAGACACAGAGCACTGGTGGAACGCGCAAAGCAGAAACATCCAACCGCATTGAAAACTTGGGAGGAGAGGAACAGACACTTCAAAGAACAAACACAAACGGCCAAAAGGCATCTGAAAATGTTCCTACATCGCTAATCATCAGGGCGATGCAAATCAAAACAATGTGATTCCATCTCACACCACAGGGACTGGCACACATCCCAAGAACAGCAACGGCAGTGCTGGCGCGGATGTGGCGAGAAAGGGACACTCCTTCGCTGCTGGAGGGAATGCCCACCGGCCCAGCCTCTTGGAAAACAATGCGGGCGTTCCTCCGCAGCCTGGCAATCAAGCTTCCACACAACCCAGCAATGCCACTTCTGGGAATATGCCCCGAGGCCCCCCAAACACGGCAGGAACGCCATCTGCACGCCCGCGTTCGCTGCAGCACTGTTCACGATAGCCAGAATCTGGAAACAACTCGAGTGCCAGATCAACGACGCCCAGCTGCACCCTGGAATACTGGTAGGCTGTGAGAGACGATGGGCTCGCGCGGTTTGCTGCTACCTGGGGGGCCATGGAGAGTGTCACGCTGAGTGAGTCCAAGAGACAGGGACAGTGTGACTTGCTCACTGCGGGACATAAAGACACAGCAGGGGATAAATCGTCCCAAAGGCAGCAGGGACAAAGAGCAGGAGGACTGGGCCCTACTGGGAAGGGGGTCCCGGGGCAGGGAGGGATGGCAGGTCAGGGAAGGGCCGTGACAACCACGACAGAGGAAGTGGCCACGGGACAAGGCCCAGGTGCTGAGGGGTCGAGAGACAGGCAGACACCTCCAGGGGCGGGACTGTGCACCACGGGCTGAGGGCGGCCTGGACACGGGGCCACGGGTCGGGTGCTGGTCACCCACACCTGAGACCCAACCATAAATAACTTTGGGATTCACAGTGATCAAATCGACTTTAAAAAGGTGCAGTCCCTACCCCCAGGAGCCATCCACAGCTGTAGGGAAGATGGACCCTCAGTTGGCTGCAGCACGGGTGGGACTGGAGTGACCCGCAGGGAGAAAGGTCAGAGCGGGGAGCAGGTGGACGAGCTCACACCGCGGGCAGGGGAGGGCAGGGCAGCGGCTCCACGCGCAGACCCCGGGCTCAGAGCAGGGGCGTAGGACGGATCGGTCTCAAGGGACCGTGGGGGGGCCATGGGGACAGCGTGGGGCGTGAGGACAGGATGGGCCACAGGGACAGCAATGGAGGGCATGAGCAGCAGGCGGGGGTGGGATATGGCAACTTTGTACATAAACACCATCCACTTTACGTCTTTATTTGGTCCTCAGGCCGCCCCGGCGGTGCTCAGGCTGACTCCTGGCTCTGCGCTCAGGAATCACTCCTGGCGGTGCTCGGAGACCATGTGGGATGCCGGGGATCAAGCCTGGGGTGGCTGTGTGCAGAGCAAGTGCCCTGCCCGCTGTCCCGTCACTCCAGCCCCAAACACCATCAACTTCAACACCTCGATATCTTCCTAAACTATATTTTGAAAGAAAACAATTATGTAAGATCATGCAAACACGCACGCGCGCGCACACACACACACACACACACACACACAATTCAGGCCTCAGAGGAACTGCTTAGTTTGTGCATTAAGGGGGCAAAAGTCAAGCGACCTCTTCCAGAACATTCCAGCCAACCACCCAGGACACGCCTCTCCCTGCTGCCCTGTCCAGTGGTCCCCCGGCACTGTGGAGACATCTGAGGCAGCTGCCCGCCCCGGGGCCCCAGGAGGGACACCCAGACGACACTTGTGTCTGCAGTCCCGGCGAGAGCACGTTGCTCCCCCCTCCCCTGCCTGCCTCACCCCGCGGCCCCAGAGCCCAACACGTCAGGGAGAGAAATCCTCCTGCCATCGGGGCGGTGCCCACTGGGAGAAGGTGCCAGCTGCCAGGGCATCCGGGCGCCTGAGTCCTGGGCTCTGGGACAGACAGGGCAGAGTCCCTGCAGCCCGGCCAGTGGCGTCACCATTGAAAAGAGGACGCTGGTGTCACAGCCGGGACAGAGTCAGCCTCGGCGAGTGGTTGGCGGGGCCCCCGAGCACAGCTGGTGTGCGCCCAAGGTCAAACAACAAAACAGACCCCAAAAATTAAAAAAAGAAAGAAGGAAAAAGGGGAAGAAAGGGAGGCCTGCCAGTACAGTAGGACAGCTCCGAGGCTCTCGCTGTCGCCGGCACCAAGGTGACCTGTGGAGGCCCCCGCAGGTGCGAGGCCTAACTCAGGTGAGCACAGAGCCAGGAGTCACCCTGGGCACAGTGTGTGGCCCAGAAACCAAAAATTTAAATGAAATTCAATTTAAAAACAAAACAAGAGGGCTGGAGCGATAGCACAGCAGGTAGGGCCTTTGCCTTGCACGCGGCCAACCTGGGTTTGATTCCCAGCATCCCATATGGTGCCCCCGAGCACTGCCAGGAGTAATTCCTGAGTGCAGAGCCAGGAGTAACCCCTGTGCATAGCTGGGTGTGAAAAAAAGGGGGCCAGAGCTATAGGACAGTGGGGAGGGCACTTGCCTTGCACACGGCCAACTGGGTTTGATCCCCGGCATCCCATAGGGTCCCCGAACCCCATCAGGCAAGATTCCTCAGTGCATGGCCAGGAAGAACTTCTGAGCATCACTGGGTATGACCAAAGAAAAAAGAAAATAGGAAGGAAGGAAGGAAGGAAGGGCTCTAGGAAGTCCCAGCTGGCCGGCTCTGACGCAAGGCTCCTCCCGGCCAGTCTCTCGGTCACAGGCCCACCCAGCACCCATGGCTGGAGCACGGAGCAGACGGAGGAGGTAGGCCTCTGCCCAGAACTCGGACCCATCACCCCGTGGGCTTCAGATGGGCCAGCCGCAGGGGCAGGGCAGGGCGGGGGCCAGCTCCCTCCGCAGACCCAGAGAACAGCAAAGCGCAGAGGTGGCAACCCGCATCCAGCCGCGAGCCTGGACGAGAGAATCCGACGGGCCTCTGGGAAGCTTCTGGCAACGCTCTCTCTACGGACTCCCTCTGCCCAAGAGCTACGGTCTGTGGCCGGTCACTCCCTTCCCTGCCACACGCGCCAGCAGGGCACGTCCTCCCTTGAGCTGACTCTCCGGCGCTGCACAGGACGCGGCCTGAGGTCTCCCAGCTCCCGATGTTGGCTGCACTGCCCGAGGCTGGCCAGAGCAGCTGGGAGTCGGGACTGACCCACGCCTGGTGCCAGCCCTCCGAGGACCCGAGGAAGGCCGTGGTGTAGAAGGGATGCGAGGAGCCCCCGCCCAGGAGCCCCACCAAGCCCAGTGTTCAGGGGTGAGGACGAAGAGGAGAAAACCACAAAACTGGATTTCACTCTCCGACTCTCTCTCTGGTCATCTTCACGTCGGCAGCCGCCGTGTTTGGACACACGGACACAGGACAGTGGTCACAGTCACGTCGGCGAAGCTGGGGAAGCCCAGGGAAAGGCGAAGCAAGGTGAGCACTCTTGGTTCTGGAACTCTCCGGGGACTCACATCAGTGCTGACAGCGACAGGAGCGTCCCCGGGCCCCCTCCCCCGCCCCTCCCGCCTCTCCCGCGCTCCAGCCCAGAGCCGAGAAGCTGGCCAGATTTTTCAAGTATTGGTTAAACAGCTCCTGCCTGTGACATATGTTTCCAGCATACTTCTGACATTGATATACAAGATTATAAAACACTGAAAATGTTACTCGCCGACAAGAAACACACGGCAGCTCCGGGTTCCCTGCTCCGCCCGGCGGTGAAACATTTGGGAGGCAGCGGCATCCCCGAGAGCGGCAGACGGAGCAGGCCGAGACAGACGCTGCGGCCGGCGGCCAGACTCAGGGGCCAGCGGCCTGGGCCCTCTCCCCCTGCCGGTGCCCGTCCTGCCCGGTGCCCTGCGGGGGGCCGGCCCAGTCAGCCCAGGAACTCTGCCGAGAGGCTCCTCCCGCAGCGGGCGGAGCGGACCTTGAGCTCATGGTAGCACTGCACAAAACTGTGGTAGATGAAGGTGATGGGGAGCGCCAGGAGCACGATCCCGCTGACCACACACACCCCGCCGAGGACCCTGCCGGGCACCGTGACCGGGTACATGTCCCCGTAGCCCACGGTCGTCATGGAGATGATCACCCACCAGCAGGCGGCCGGGATGCTGGCGAAGTCCTTGTTGGAGGCCTCCAGGTCCAGCCCGTGCTCCAGCAGCTGCGAGAGCGCGCCGAAGACGGCCATGGCCACGCCGACGAAGAGCACCAGCATGGCCATCTCGCGGTAGCAGCGCCGCAGCGTCAGGCCCAGCGTCTGCAGCCCGATGAAGTGGCGGGCCAGCTTGATGACCCAGAAGATCCGCATCATGCGCAGCACGCGCAGGGTGACGCCCGCCCGCTGCAGCTGCGAGTTCTCGCCCGTCAGCACCGTCACCAGCACCGACACGTAGTAGGGCGCGATGGCCAGCAGGTCGATGATGTTCAGCGGCCGCCGGACGAACTCACACTTGTCCCGGGAGACCACGAAGCGCACGACGCACTCGGCCGTGAACCAGCCGATGCAGACGGCCTCGATGACCCTGCGGGAGAGCAGAGGGGCACGGTCACGCTCAGCCTCTCCGTCCGCGCGCAGGCCACACCCGCGGGCACGCGGGCACGGACAGACACGCGAGCACGGACAGACACGCAGACACCCACAGACACGAGGATGTGGAGAGACACGTGGGCATGGGCAGACACGCGGACAATGGCAGGCACAAAGACACAGACAGACACGTGGACACGGACAGACACACGGACACCCACAGACACGAGGACATGGACAGACACGCGGGCACAGGCAGACACGCGGGCACTGACAGACACAAAGACACAGGTGGAGACGGACAGACACGTGGACACGGACAGACACGCGGATACCCACAGACACGAGGACACAGACAGACACGCAGACACTGACAGACACGCGGACATTGACAGACACAAAGACATGAACAGACATGTGGACATGGACAGACACGTGGACACCCACAGATACAAGGACACAGACAGACACGCGGACACCCACAGACTCACGGACACGGACAGACACGCAGACACCCACAGACACAAAGACATGGACAGACACACAGACACCTACAGACACACGGACACCCACAGACATGTGGACATTGACAGACACACAGACACGCGGACACGGACCCGAGAGGTTCTGGGCTGCCAGGCCAAAGCACCGGCTCAAATGGGCGTTCGCCGCCGGCCGCCACCTGAAAGCCCCCCCCACTGACCCGACGGCTCAGAACCGCCCGCGCTCAGCCGCCATCGGAACGCCAGTGGGCCTGGCCGGCTGCAGACACCCACGCGTCCAGGCTCCAGACAACGGGCGCCGACATCTCCCTGCGCTGCTGCCTCCGCGGCCTCCAGCCTGGACCCCCCTCACGGTGCCAGCGGCCGGGGCCAGACTGGACTCACTTGCAGTTCCCAGAGGGGCCACGGTCTGCAGGCGGGAGAGGGCAGCCGCCGGCCACGCACCCAGGAAGGACGCGGGTGCCGGGAGCCCGGTGGAGCCCCAGCCGTTCCTGTCTCAGCGGGGCAGTTTCCAGGTCTGGCATCCCGTTACTGCACGTCCCAGCTGGCCTGACAGCGAGGCCCGGGCCAGCGTCCAGCTCAGCGGGGCAGCAGCTCCCCTGCCTCCCACGCACAGGGGAAGTAGCCGCAGGGCCGGGGTGGGAAGGCAGCCACAGACACGGACAGCGCCTGCCACTCTGCCCGGGCAGCACCCAGGGGGCAGAGCGAGCGTCCACAGAGCCAGGCGTGGCCAGCGCGTGCGGTCAGCAGCAGAGCACAGGGCTGCAGGGCGGCCGCTGTGCTCGGGAACAGCCTTGGCCCCGGGCACCTCCCAGCACTGCCCAGTCAGGGCACTGGGACCTGTGTCTGCAACTCCCACCTGGCGGAGGGCGGGGCTGGGCGTCAGGGAGGGCCCTCGCCCGAGGGGCCACCTGGGAGTGGAGGGAGAGGGGCTCAGGACTCAGGACCCTGCACTGGGCTCGGGGGAGGGGGAAACCCAGGACCCCTCACTATCGCTGTGTGTTGTCTGGAGGCAGCAGGGCTGAACTGAGGCCACACGCCATGTGCCATGTGCCGTGTGCCCATCCCAGGGAGCCAGGGGCAGGGCGGGGCTGCGGGCAGCAGGGCACGTGTCTGAAACACACGCGTGTCCGTGGGGCCTGCTCGAGTCTCAGCCCAGGCCATGAGCAGCGAAGAGCTCAGGGACAGCCCTGGGCCTTCGTAGGTGACCACGGGCCGGACGAAGGCAGGAAATGCCGTTGGAGCCAGGGCCCGCTCACGGGAGAGGGACGGTGGAGTTCCCGGACCCCTGAAGTGCTGGTGGGCGGCGGGGGCGGCCGGGCCAAGGCTCCCGGACCCCACGGCCTCGCCCCCGCCCACAGACCCACCTCGGCCGAGCCGCGCTCTTGCTCACGGCAAGAAAGCCCAAAGATGCCATTAAACCCACATTAGTGAGATGTTAACTGTGCCAAAAATACCAGACCATCTTCTGTCTAATTATTTCCAGCAGCATCAGAGTCGTTCCGAGCGGCAGGGAGGGGCCTGCGCGGCCCAGGGTCCCGGGAGAGGCTGCAGCCAGGCTCGGCCCACGGCAGACGCACAGCCCGCTCCACGCTCGGGGACGGCCACCACCGGCTCTCTGCTCGCCTGCGCAAACAGCCGCCAAGGCTGCTTCCAACGCTCCCGCTCACTGCCTGAGCACTGGTCCGAGAGTCGGGGGGGCTGGGGGAGAGAGACAGAGACAGAGAGACAGAGACAGAGAGAACGAGATATACAGAGACAGAGAAACAGATATAGAGAGACAGAGAGACAGAAAGTGAGAGACAGAAAGAGAAACAGACTGAGAGACAGAGATAGAGACACAGAGAGACAGGGACAGAGAGAGACAGAGAAACAGAGATACAGGGAAAGAGAGACAGAGACAGAGAGAAAGAGATATACAGAGACAGAGAAACAGATATAGAGAGACAGAGAGACAGAAAGTGAGAGACAGAAAGAGAAACAGACTGAGAGAGAGACAGAGAAACAGAGATACAGGGAAAGAGAGACAGAGACAGACAGACAGAAAGAGAAACAGAGACAGAGATAGAGACACAGAGAGACAGAGAGACAGAGAGAGAAAGGCAGAAAGACAGAGAGACAGAGTGGGGGAACATGCAGAAATTGGTGCTCCCGGCACTCAGGCCCTCAGCTGAGCTCACGGCCGGGCCTCGGGGCCTCGGACATCTCAGCTGTGCGCCGACGGCTCTGGGTGACGGCAGGAAGGAGGGACCCAGGGTCTGCCCACGGCGCAGACGGCAGCATGGATGTGCCCAGCACTAGCAAGGCTCATGTCCCGACCAACGCGTCGGCGCTGCCAGCCCCTGAACGCCAGGGCCAGCCTGGACCGCCCAGACCCGGCAGGCGGCACAGGGCGTCAGGGAGAGGGTCCGATGTGCCTGCTTGCTTCCGGGCCGGCCGCGGCTGTCCACAGGCGGGGCCTGAGGCGGGACAGAGACCGGACGCGGGGGAGGGCAGGCTGACAAGTGGGGAAGGGCGTGAGGCCATGCAAGCCCAGGACAGTGAGGGCCATGACGTGCTGGACACTGAGGCCACGTGTGTGCTGGACGGGACGGGGAGGCCCGCGGTTGCTCTGCATCCCAAGAGCAAGGCCGGCGGCTGGCGGGGTCCTGGGGCTGCTGCTCCCCCTCCCCTCTGCGTCCAGCGGGCCTCTCCTCGGGCTTCAGCAGGACAGAGGAGAAGGACACCGCTGCAGTGGGGACAGGCAGCTGCTGTGCCTCAGTGGACGCAGAGCACTGAGCACAGAGCACCCATCTGAGGTACGGCAGAGGACACGCGCCGGAGCCCCGGAGTGGGCGGGGCGGCAGGACACAGCCTCTGCGCGAAGTCTGAGTAAGGCTCTCAGCGACCCCGTGATCGCACGGAGTCACAGTCACACTGAGTGGACACGGATGGCCCGGCAGTGGCCGCAGGGGTCGTGGTGCCGTGCGCGAGGACCCTGCCCCCTCCGGCGTCTTTGTCTGCGGCTTTCGCGTTCACCCCAGCCCAGGAGCCAGCCTCTGGGGGCAGCTGCCGCGGGAGCTGCCTCAGGCGGGTTCCCATGGCCAGGTCCCTGTGGCCACCTGTGGTCCTGCTCCGAGGAGGCCCACCTCCCCCCAGGACCAGCCCCCTCCTGGCTCCCTGCACCCCGCAGGGCAGGGGGGGACAGGGGCCAGGCCTGACACAGGCAGCCGGGGCTGGGGGACGGGGCAGCAATGGCCTGGCCTGGGGGTCCTCGCCTATCCACACTGCAGCCAAACTGGGGACTGCGGCGTGGCCACCATCCATCCCGGTGCTGGCCCCGGGGCTCCAGGTCCTGCAAGGCTTTGCAGCCACGCATGCGGGGACATCGGTCAAGGAGACGCTGCTGGCCCCTCTCAGCACAGCTGCCGGGGTTAGAGACGCGGGCCTGGGGCCAGTGCTCCGGGGACGCCCGTGACGGGTGATGGACGAGAAGGCGAGAAGGCGTCAGTTTCCTCAGCAAGGCTGGTGGGGAGATGCAACGGAGAAGGGAAGGGAAGGGGAGGGGGGAGGGGGAGGGGGAGGAACGAGAGGGGGAGGGGAGGGAGCACTGCAGGCTGGGTAGCACTTGGGAGAAGCACTGGGCACTGCTCGGGGTCCAGGGGCCATGGGGGGCAGCGCCAAGGAAGGGGCTCCTCTCTCCCCGCCCCTGTCCAGGGCTCCTGGGCAGGACGGAGGCAGGAGCAGCCCTGGGCACCTCCAGGTGCGGCCAAGGACTAACCACAGCCCCAAACGGCGCGGAAGAGGCTTGTGTGGCAGAACAGAAGCACCTGGGAGCCCCCCAGCCCCCCAGCCCCGACCCCCGACTGCTGGGCCGAGGCCCCCAGGGAGTGGCCCCATCCAACAGGCTCCCTGGACGCAGCCGTGGACGCTCACTCGGGACTGACGGGGTCAGAGAGGGTGGAGACAGGACAGCGAGAGGCACTGGGGGTCCCCTGAGCATGGCCAGATGTTCCCCTGAAACAATGGAAGGGAGGGAGGGAGGAAAGAGGGAGGGAGGGAGGGAGGGAGGGAAGGAGGGAGGATGGAAGGAAAGAGGAAGGAGAGAGGGAGGGAGGGAGGGAGGAGAGGGAGGGAGGGAGGGAGGGAGGAAGGAAGGAGGGAGGGAGAGAGGGAGGGAGGAAGGAGGCTGAGAGCAGGGCGGGTGTGGGGGCCCCCGGCGGGCTCCCAGCACTGCAGGCCCCCGCCACTGAGCTGGGGACAGCCCCTGAGCATGACCGTGGTGACCACAAACCAGTGTTGAACGCGAGGAAACGTGGCTCCTGGCAGGGAGGGGTCGGGAGCTTCCCTCTGCGTTTCTGGCCTTAGTTTTGTTTCTGTTTGGGGGCGCCATATGGGGCGCTGGGGACGGAGCCAGGGTCCGCTGGGCACAGGGCGAGCGCAGGTCCCTGTGCGTCTCTCCAGGACCCCCAGCCCGACTGAGGCGGGCAGGAGCTGCTGCTCCCAGGACCAG